CGGGGTTGTTGGCCGCGGCTTCCGAGCTCCCCGCGTTTCTCCAGGTGCAGCCGTGTCGCCGCCCGGTCGTCTTTGTTAGCGCTTGTCCCCCTTGCGGGTGTTTTCTGGCTCTTCTCCCCTTGCTACTGAGGGGCAGCGGGGCGCGGGCTCAGGCGGGCAGTAGGCGCCGGAAGGAATAGCTGGAGTTGGGTCTGGTAAATCTAGTAGCTCCCGCGTTGCGTTTTGCAAGCTAACCACTTAGAGATGCACGTAGCACAAGTACAAACCCGCAGATGACGAGCAGTGCACGGAAGCTTACGGAGCTGAGCGCTGCCGTTACCAGCTGCCACGCAGTTGGGCACACAACGCCGCTGAACGCGGCCGGACTCGAGTGCGCAAGGCTGCCTTTGTGCTTACGCTCTGCTGTCCCACAGCTCCAGGGGAGATGAGAGGAAGGCCGTGCATCACGGGCCTTGCCTGCTGCATAGCAGGAACTTATCATTACAGCAGCAAAAATGCTGGATTTGCTTTTTGTGTGTGCACGTGACATGGTGTGCTGTAAAAGCACTTTCTAGGGCATGCTTGAGAAAGAGAGCAGGTAGGAGTAAGCTGCTATCACAAGAACAATTTATGTGACCTATTTGCAGAGAGTTTTTTTCATGATGGCCGTTTGAGAGCTGGTTTCATGAGTGGTTCCCTCTTTGTCCTGCATTTGGTGTTTTTTGAGAAGGAGGTGTAGCTCATGCCATCTGTGTTTTTTTTTTTTTAACAAAATAGAATTAATTCCCTTTGATTTTATGATTCATCTACCTGTTGTATGTTGTGAGCTGTCACAGAACTTCCCTTAGAGTCTCTGTTATGCAACAGTCATTATGCAAAGCAGGAAAGAGGGTTTGGGTTTTTTTTAAGCTGCTGGGGGAAGACCTTGCTTCTCAGTATCTTAGTTATGTCTGTCTTAAAAATGTATACTGTTTGATCACTGAAGCAAGGAGGCAGCTTTGCACACACATGATCTGCCCCAAGGAATTGTACTTTTTTTTTTTTCTCCTTGTGTTTTACCTTAGTGGCCTCTCTGCCTGTGAATGAGACAGGTTTTACAGGGTTTTTTTGCTTTATTTTGACAGTGTCTCATATTAACTGTTTACTAGACAGTCTTGCAAGGAAATTGCCTAGAGCCTTGCAGATTTTACTCAGCAAATGGCAGTACTCTGACCTGGTGCAGAAGAGTTAACTCTAATTTGTGTTCTACTTTGAGTAAGAAGCTGGAGTTCAGGTCTTACTCGGGGGTGAAGACGTCTTGGGTAACGATGCACTTAGTGCTCCTGCAAGAGCCCAAAGTCAAAACAGAGTACAGAGGGATTTTCAGCATCCCAAGAGGATTTCAGGAACAACGAAAAACACAGCGAAAATTCCTTACTTTTGCAGTAAAGCAAGAATGTGAATATTTTAGAATACTCTATTCTTTTTCTTTTCCAGGTTTATACTATCAACTTGGAATCTCGTTATTTACTAATACAAGGAGTTCCTGCATTAGGTGTTATGAAGGAATTAGTTGAACAATTTGCATTATATGGTGCCATTGAAGAGTATCATGCTCTAGATGAATATCCAGCAGAGCAATTTACTGAAGTTTATCTTATAAAATTCCAAAAACTGCAATGTGCAAGGTATTGGATGGGGCAATGCTGCCTCTTGCTCTTTTACACATCTTTTACATCTGCTTTATTTACAGTCTGTTAAGATTCTAGGGAGTTGACATAAAATCCTCAGTTTTGCCAATACAATTTAATTCCCTTCAGGGTGGCCAAGAAAAAAATGGATGAACGAAGTTTCTTTGGTAGTTTGCTGCATGTGTGCTATGCTCCAGAATTTGAAACAGTCCAAGAAACTAGGGAGAAGTTGCAAGATAGAAGAAAGTATATAGCAAAAACAACAAATCAAAGAGGTTTGTAATTAAATTTCCAATAAAATCTTAACATTTCAGTTAGTGGTGGGTGGGGTTTTGGTTAAAGTGCCCATTAAAGAAAATGCTTGGTATCTGGCTGTTTTAAAGATGCATTTTAAGTACGTTTACAGCAGAATATTGAAAGATGTCTCCATTTAGAGGGCTGTATCTATTTCAAAGCCACTTTTTGGTTTTGATTAAGACTGAAAGAAAGAAATGCTTAAGCTTTAATAATGAAATATTTCCTTCTCTTTTTTTTTCATTTCAAAATCATTTCAATATCCTTTTCATTTCAATATCAGAAATTTCAGGCACTGGCAGGAAATTTGGGATCATCTTTTCACCTTTGTTTCAGCTTATTCAGGCATGCTCACAGGGACAGTTTTGTAAGAAAGGTGACTATAGCAGAACCTTCAAGAAAAAACTTCTCCAGCTTACGTGTCAGTGCTGGAGGAATGCTAAGAAAGTACAGGGTTTACAAAGGGTACTGTACTGCAGAGTTCCCAAGCAGCACTGAAGGCTGTGGAAGCTGAGAAATAAGCAAACTGCTGAGCACAGGCTTCTCCTTTCTTGTGTTTATGTGCTTTGATACATTATTCATTGCATGAAGATATTTAAAGGGAGTAAAATCACTGATTTTTAACATCAAAACACCTGTTTTTTTGAGAAAAAACTTCAGGTATTTCTGCAAGAAAGCCTATCCTTGAAATTATAACTGGAAGTAAAAATCATTGATTTGCAACATTAGACATATTTTCCTCGTGTTATCAAAACTGATGCTCAATTCTGCTGAGGCTTTCCTGTCAAACCAGCTGAGTGACTGGGCTGAAACACTGTAGTTTGTAAAGTGTCACTTAGGAAGAAAGAATCACAGAAAGGTGGGTGGGAATGAAATATCACTGGTGTTGCTTCTGTAATTGTACTAAATGTTTCTTCTTACGTGTTAGAACTAATAATGAGATAAAATAGTGAAGCTACTTTTTTGTTGTTTTGAAGATTGCTTTGTATTAAAGAAAGTGGAGGGGCCTAAGAAGACAGTCTTGAAGAACTCCGAGCATGACCATCCACAGACTACATCAGGATCGTGTGCACCCAGTAACTGGGATCCATCCTGCTTTACAAGTTCTCACGGGTTATCCCACAACATAGGGTATCCATCTGGGAATCAGAGCCGGTTGACATTTCCCCAGTATGACAATTGTGCTGAAACTTCTGAGTACGTTGGTCAAAACGCATCCCTAACTCTAAATGTCCATCCAGGAGGACATACTCCACCAACTCCATTAACGCAGCAAAGAACAGTTCCGATTGATAACGGAGTTGATAGGTTTATGCCCCGTACAACTCGCCTTCAAGAACGTAAGAGGAAGAGAGAAGAAGGTAACAAGTTTTCCCTCATTGGAACAAATGCAGACAATACTGAAGTCATTATTGGTCCGCAGCTACCAGAAATACCTAAAGTAGATATGGATGATGATTCATTGAATACTTCGGCTACATTAATTAGAAATAAACTGAAAGAGGTATGGATTCTGAAAGTTCTGATATTTTCAAGCATATATATATTGTGTACTTGTTATCCATAAAAAGATACCCTAAGATAACTTAATTCAACATTTATTTAGTATTATCAGTTTATTTGCCCCTTAAAGCCAGCATTCTTACTACTAAACTCTTTCATAATGCACAATATTGCAGGCCATTCTACTCCATACCTCTTACGCTACACTTCAGAAAGTACAACTGTCAGTGCATGGTCCTAACTGATTTTTAGTAAACTACACTTCCCCCCCCGCCATGTGGGAAGGCACAATAACTTTGGAGGTAGTCCTGCTGACTCCAGTGTGGTACTTGTATCTGGTTTCTGATTGAAAGGGAGTGAAAAATAATCACGTCAGAGTTCACTGCAATTTTGCTCCAGCACTCCTTATGGCATTAAAATATGTACAGAACCACAACTTCTATGCTAAAGCATGGCTTAAGCTATGTAACCTTTTATGGAGGATATACATCAATTAGCAGGTCAGACATTCCTGATTGATAGAAATTTCCATTTAAATTAAGATATGAAAAGGCTGCCTTGACTATGACTAACCACACTGCTTTGAAAAAGCTTCTCTCCAGTCAAAAAATAAACACCCCTTACATTAAATAAATTTCTAAAATATGTGTCAAGACACATGTTTTTCCTCTCTCTTCCCTTGGAATACCTGGGTCTAAAAAGCGTACTAAACCTTACTTTGAAAACACCTCTGGTAGATATGTAACAGTCTATCACTGAGCATCTGAATCAGTTTGTGTCATTTAAATACAAAAATGGCACTGCTAACACTTTATTTTCTAAGTTTCACCTCTTGTATTTAATGCTGCCTTTAGTGTTATATTTTTTTTTGCATTTTTCTGCAGGAAAATTTAATACAGGTGTGATTATAGTAATACATCCCTCCCGATACTCAAATGTTGGAGACCTAGCCTCACTCTATCACAGAAAAGGAGTGGTAACAGTCTACTAAGAATTTTTTTTTTCCCCCCCTCAATTTAGGTAGCAGATTCTGTTTCAAGAACACCTGTGGAAAAGCCAGAGAGTAGCTCAGCCAAACCACTTGTAAAGCAGAGAAGAAGAATATAGATAACTGCTGGCAGCATCTTCCAACTGTTTATTTTTTAAAGGATATAGTTTAAAATACTTATTTTTTTATGTTAAAGATAAAATGATTTTAGATTGTATTTCCAAGTAATACCTTGTTAAAAATTGTGTCAATTTGTTTCTTGGAATGAACAAACTAGTATAAAATATTACTGTTTCAATCTTGTCCTGTGTACCTCATACTATAACATATTTCGTAACTCATTGAAGAACTGTATTTAAGTAGAATAACAGGAGTAAATTCTATTTATTCAGTTGCTTTTACAGTAAAGGAATACTGAAACTTTGCAATAGTTTCAAGTTGCTCCTATTTTTACTATACCGTGAAGAATGATGAAGAAAAAACCTCTTACAACAGTATTCCACTTGGAGTTACAGTTTACGAGTTTCCTGGAAAGTTTTCTGTTCAAAAGCCATACTGCTCTGTTTAAAAAAAAAAAAAAAAAAAAAAAGAGTTAATTTTCAATTAACTGAAGGATTTAAATTTAATTGGAAAAGATGTTTAACTGAAATGTGTAAGCAGTGACAGCCCTTACACTGAGGCTCCCTTTTGCTTTTTAGCTTAGAAAAGGTAAATGCCATAGCATTAATGATGTCATCACTGAGACTCTTTTTTTCCTGACCTCCAGCCTACCAGGTCGTGAGCTGGCAGGAAGTGCAGGTTTTCAGCAAATAAAAACTTGCTCTGTTTCCAGCAGTCTTGCAAAACTTTTCTGTTTCTGGGATCACTGCATGTATTCCAGAATTTTTTTTTTCCGTCTCTGTGAAGGCACAACTCTCAGTATTTAAACGACACGTAGTTCAAATAGAATAATGATTACTGGATTAGGAAAAATACTATTATAGAGCAGAAATGCTCTCCACAGTTGAACTTAACACTGAGGAAATGAGCATGTTCGGAATTACAATCTTCAAAAAAAAAAAAGCCTCTTAATTGAATTAGATGTATTGGTAATAAATAAAGCCCAGTTAGATGGGATTGAAAGACAGCAGTGCCCCACTCTGCGATGAAGGACACTCTCAAGGTATTTTTCTCAGAAGGTTACCAGCCTCTTCCAAAAGAGGCTGTAAGTGAGGTGATGGCAGGGTTGCTAGTGGCACTGAAAAATAAAAGTTGTATTCCTGGAGCTTTTGTATAAACTATTCAAAAGAATGGTCTCATTTTCTTAGTCCAAGAGAGTGTTTATTCAGGATTATTCATCATATTGCTGCCCCAAGACAGACAAAAACTGTGTAACAGTGTGTTTTTACATTCTCTGGTACCAGTGTTTGACTGTATCTGGAAACATTGGTGCTGTGAAAGGTAGATATGAACTTGGCACATGCATCTCGCAACTGAAGCATTTATCAGTTGACTTC